TTTTGGGTATGGAGGCCCGTACATGCATGTAGACTAAGTTCCCAAAGTTTCAGCCTTTTAACTTTTGTAGGTCTCCAGATGAAAAATCCGTACAGACCAACATGCATACACACTCACACACAAACACAGATAACCTCTCGTCAGTATGCGTTTTCTGCATTGCGTAGATGCAAAAAACGCATAAAAATTAAGCGAGCAGAGATGTTTCGGTCCATTAATTTGTATACGCTCCTGTTGAGCACCATAACTGGACCTAGTCAGTACGACAACAGTGATATTGCTGATAGGGATTTCATAAAAAGTAAATATGTGTAAAATAGTGTATTATTATATAAAAAAATAAAAAAAGCAAGCATTGTGAACAGGCCTACCAGTCATACGAGTACTGGGAGGCGAGCTGTGTGAGATGAAAAAATATGTTTGAACACATACGGTATGGTTTGAATGTAGTGAGCTCAGAACCGAGAGACATGGAGAAGTTGTCAACTGAACCGATAACGGAAGGGGGCACAACGAAAAGATAGCAGCTGTTTTGTCAGATGCACTGATGATAATTTCAACCATTTCAAGATAACTTTGTTCTTTTCGGTGGTACTGTCAATTTTAAGCGTATTTCCGTTGTTACTATCATTGATCTTTCACAGCAGTATTAGGGAAATTAAATTAAGGCAAAAATGAGCCTACGAATAAAATTAAAAAAAAAATAAAAGACAAAAACAATCAGAAGCTTTGAACACAACCAAAGAAACAAAATCAAAAAAAAATCCCACCTCTACAAATGGGAACTTGTCCTATAAAAACTCGTCGTCAGTAGGATGCTTCCCTATTTAAGAGGCATACATATAAAAATTAAATTTGTACGTATGGCTGTCAAGTGCATTGATGAAAGTTTCAGCCATTTCGAGGCAACTTTATTCTTTTCGGTAGTGCTGTCAGTTGTAAGCGTGTTTCCACTACTTTGGGCAGCTTCCAGTTTCGACCAATTGGACGATATACTGTTTGGCGAGAGGTCACATTTTTATACGTTTTTGCATATATGCAAATGCAAAAACGCATATTGACAAGAGGTTGTCTGTGTTCGCAGTTTTTGTCGACTACTTCCAACTCGAGAACGAGAAAAGCTAGAAAGCTGAAGCTTCGAGAGTGTGTACCCACCGCTTATGCGACCCTCCCTTTTTAATATTATTGTCCGAGTACGCCTGGGTCTTTTTTTCTACGTTTATGCCAATTAGAAGTTGTGTCATATCTGAGGGGATGTGCGCATCGATTTTCCCACAGAAGACCAGTATGTCTAAAACTTAGCTTTTTTTCTCCAGTTTAGCTCAACTAGCTGAAAATGCACCCAAGCCGAGGCAGCGCTTGCAGTTTTCCCCAATTTTTATCGTTTTTGCTCAGATAAAGTTACTTGCTTAAAGCGCATGTGTTATACTTTCATCCTGCAAATTTTTGCATCTTGTTGGCTAAATCTTACACATTCGATCAACTGTTGCTTATACCTAGTCTAGTTCCTGCGTTCGTTGGCTGTTCTGTACGGACGATTCTGTAGTTTTATGGTGCAAATGCGAGTGTTTTATTTTAGTTTCGTAGAATTATTTTAAGATTTTGTCTTTGGGCGATTGTTCATTTTAATTAGTGTTTTGGTACTTTTTGGTCACAGAAATTTGACATATCACACAAAGCTTGCCCTGAGATTTGCATTGCTCGATCTGTGTTTACAGCTAAGGAATGAGACATAAATTGCATCGTAAAATATCCTCCGGCAGGATGAGACCAGTCCTTCCATTCTACTATTGCTAAATTAGAAAAGAAGAATGTAGTGCCGATTTTATAACGATTTTTTTTTTTGTCTAGGAATACATGCCGCTTCTTGCACGTTTTTAACATGAAGAGTTGGGGAGCGAAGACTCTAAGTAAAGTCGAAAATGGGGCATTTATTATATGAAATGGGCAAGGACTGGTTTTGGGGAAAAAAAGGAATCCTAAGAATTTCTTTCACCGTATTAGCTCTTCAGGCCTTTGACACGCAAGTGTATAATTAGTCGCTCAATATCGCTGTGTGGCATTTTTGGTGCTTGGTTGGGTGCAATTGCTCTTCCTCTGGATTGGGATCGCTGGTGGCAGGTACTTTTGATTTTTTTTTTTTGCTGCGTCAGTGGCGCTGTGAGATTTCTGAAATTCAAACTGAAGTACTGGTTGTATTTTGTGCTGCATGGGAAAATATTCTTGTTTCCATGTATGTGATTGAAGCACATCTTTTTTGCCATATCGCTTTTGTATTATTTTTTAGCGTTGGCCACTTCCGTGTGTCTTTGGTGCACTTCTCGGTGCTTGCTGTGGGTTCTTGTACAGCGCTTCTCATCTAATTTTTACATGGTTCAGAGGACGACGACGAAAAACGACAAAATTTGTCTAACCTCAAAGGTTTCTGTATTTATAAATCAGAAAGCGATTTTTAGGATTCTCTACCGTCAAAAATATTCCACTTTTACGATTTCAGAACAGTGGGATGTATGCTGCAACAAGTACCTATCTCTCTCAACTTATCGATATACCAAAACTTAAAGGAATAATTTTCGCAGAATTTGATGCAGACAAAGGTCCAGTAATCAGAGTACAGGTTAGCAGTTTTTACCAAATTTACACATATTTTTCTTAGATTTTTTTTGCTTTTTTGAGCGAGAAAATTGAAATTATTGCAGGTGCCCGATGTTTTATTTGATGCAAAACGATTTGTACGTTCTCCAATGCGATCATCCCGAAGGCAGAACTTCTTCATCGACTCATCAAAGTGAATCACGTTGAAAATAGCGATGGAAAAGTGTATAAAGTGATGGGCCATCCTGTCGGCATCGGTTCGCCATTTTGTATTTAATTTTCTTCTCTTGTACTAACTGGTTATTCCTAGTCTGGTTTTTTGAAGAAAAGTTGGAAAAGTTGGAAACCCGTGCCTGACTTCGCTTGTTTGATATAGATGATATATTTTAAAAAAATTTAAAAAAAATCGCTTATTAAAAAAATCTGTCTCATAATCAAGGACTATAAATGATGGCGATATTTTTCATAGATTTCTATGACGGTCTGTTTATCGAATTCATAGATTAGACTCAAAAAACCGTTCCGCCACCTTTCCTCCCCTTGTTTTTTCCAGCCATCCTCGTCGTTTCTGTACATCCCGCTCTTTGTTTCACATTTTTAAAGAATCGAAGGCATTCCGAGTAGGCCTGGGTGATTGTACTTTCCCAGACAATTGATGGTTTCCACTTCTGAGAAATGTTTAACAAGTAGGATGAATGTTGCTTGACTTCCTACTTTTTGCAACCGTGGGAATCAGTCGTTTTATCTGCGAAAGTGCTATAACATTCCAACCATTATTCGAAATCAGTGGGTGAGGCTTAATTTTTAATGGCATCTCTATGTGGCTAAAAAAAATCTTCAGAAAGTGATTCGTATGCTCGTGGACGATATATATTCAATTTATGTTTTGTGGTCGATAAAAACAGCCAAATTGACTGCATATATGAACCAATGGTGCAAAAATGCGCGGCTTATCTAACACAGATGGAAAAGGTATCCACGAGATCTTCATTTATCCCTTCCATCAACAGTATCTGAATGTATGAAATAAACGCACTTATCTATGAAATTTCAGGATTCGGGATTTTTATCGCAATCACAGGATCAATTACCGCCCATATTGCTGAAAATATTTGAAGGTCTAAACGAACATGGTGGGTGTAAATCTTACGCTTTTTTGTGGTAACTGTATACCTGCGGAAAAAAAAGCAAGTGGAAAGGGTGGCTTACGATCACAGTAACGTAGGAGATCCACACTGACGGTACGAGCGATATTAGTTATTTAATAACAGTCTTCCCCTCCCTCCCCCCCCCCCCCCCCCCCCCCCCCCCCCCCC